ATACGACTTTAAAGACCTTTAACATGATCTAAGATTCAAAAAACAGGAATTTCGAGCACCTGACAAGTTTCTATTATGCTTGGAACGGTCTACAAAGGCATAATCCGCTTTCCAATCCCCATTTTTTGTCTCATTTTCCCTTTGCGATCTTACGCAAGGCCAAAGTCTCGATTGCCGGCAAATTAGAGACCAAGGAAGAGGGGAAAGGAAGAGCGAATTGCGCGGATTACATGCAAATCAAAGTCGCTTCTTAGAGAAGCCGAAAGTTCGGGAGTCATTATAAGACTCAAGAAGAGGGGGATCGAGGAATGACAGATGCTTTTTGGAGCGAGATTACTGTGGGAAAAAGAAGATCGAAGGACTTCAAAAAAGTTTAAACTTTTGGATGAAAAAATTACTGTAATTTGAAATTTCAAGGCGTTGAATTTGAGACATATGCTTTTTACAAGACTGTTAACGCCTGAAAATTTTAGCCCTCACTTTGCCGGGATATAAAACAATCTTTGCAGGTGAGAGAGTATGGGAAAAGAGGAGAGACGATCAGAGAAAAAACTTTTTTTAGCCATATCTCTTTGATTAGACTCGGTCATGCCGAACTTGATAGAAAATGCGCAGTAACCCTAACAAAAAATAAAGTTCAGCCCCAAAGATTACTGTAACATCACAAATTAGGCTAAAAAATGCATAAAAATTAAAAGTCCCACGTAATTTTCTATCACAAAAAATATAATATTTTGATTGTCCCCAAAAAACAAACAGAATCTGGACACTGGCCATCGAAGCCAGGACAATTTATATGAGACGAGAAAGCTGTGTCCACAAGTATCCCGAAAACAAAACTGCGAAATAACACAAAAGAAAGGAGACTGGCCAAAAACTAACAAAACGTGAAAGTGTCTGTACTAAAAAGTAATAAAATCTGAAAAAGTCTATATCATTGTCTAAAAGAGGGTCCACATGGAAGTGTGGCCCAAACTTGGCACCGTCGAAATGCTTATTATGGGATAATTAGAGACCAAACATTCGATGGGGGGTGGGGGAATTAATTACAGTTCAAACTTGCTCACGTAAATTGGCGGGTAATGGAGGGAGAGTACGATGGTGGACTTGAGATCGTAACTGCGGTGTTTTGGCATAGTTTGGCTATTTTTGGAGACCTTCTTTGCTAATTTTTGAAAATTAAAATGTTGTGTTTTTCAGTATTGCAAGCATCCAATAAAAAAGATCATATTTTAATTTCTGCTTTCGCTGTAACTTTTTCAATTTCGTTAAGAAAAAAGTGATTTTTTGTAGGAATACTGCAATCTTTACATGAGACGAAAAGCTGATTTTTCAACTGTAAAAAATCGCATCAATTGTTTCGCAAAGCGAGTGCTAAGAAGCTTGGAAACACTAATCTGTTTACCAAGATGGCAAAATTTTCTCTTTGATGGGAACTGTGGCTATGCTCGTTTTTATAATATATTTTCCTTTACAGTAACATCCCCATCCTCCTCCCTTATAACCGCACCCTCTTTTGTCTTTCAATATGCTCATTTTCGCATTCTTCCATGCAAATTCATTCTGACAGTCCTCCCTTTTCCTCACCACTGACCATCTGTTGCCAAAATCAAATTAGAAGTCGCAAAAAAGATGGGCAGATGTTTCCAAACTTGGTCATTTTGTCGGTCATTAAGTCAGAAATCTCTTCATATCCCCCTAATGACTCGAACGCACGCCTTTATGATCCGCTACAGTATCTGGCGGGGCTATAAAAAAGTTGTATAAAAAGTGGCGGCGCAGTTTTGCTTTGCGATCGGGCGATTAAAATCGATTGGGCATGAACTTTGGCGCAAAAAGACATTAAATGTCAGCGGAAGGGAAAACGAAAACAATTTACATAACCAATTATTAGGTTGGAGGTAGTCGGTGAGCTGATATAAGGGATCAAATAGGTGCCGATTATAGCAAATTGTTCAATAAATGCCAAAAAAATGGAAGTGCGCAAAATGAGAGAAGAAACTGTTGATAAAACACACATTAAGATTACATTTTTCTTACAAGGGGAGTACCTCAAGTGCGACGCTCAGATTTTCTTAAAATTTTGCACATGCGTTGAACATAGACTAAGTATCAATTTCTGAAAGTTTTAGGTCGCGCTTTTCAGGCGCTGCCGAGATATTGAACGTTTTTTGCCGACTAGAGAATACACTAAACGTGGAGAACGGTCAGAGAAAAAAAAAACTTTTTGGCCATAACTTTGGCAGTTTCGTGCGGAAAAAACTGATTTTTTATATTAACATTACTCTTTACGGTAGAAACAGGTACGAAACTTTTCGTGCCGAAATTTGGCAAAAAGTCCTAAATTTTCGACGACTATCGTATATATATTTTCTAAAAATCTCGGTTGTTTCTGCAAAGCGCGAGCTAGGATTATCGCATATATTTGAGAAAAAATATTCTAAATTTGTGCCAAGTTTCATCAAAATTTGAGCGTCGCACTTGGGGTACTTCCCCTGTTAGCAAAAACAAAACTTTTAGCAAAATCCGGCCCGTATTTTTTGCTTAACCTGTTTTGCTTACACTTCCCGCAGAAAATAGTCGAATACTTCTGAAATCTTGCAACGCATAACCCCAAAATTTTCAAGGAATGATAAATGGTCCATTTAGAGTATGTAAGAAGTCCCTACAGTCACTGACAATTCTTTGAATTTTTATCTCTACCCGACACTGACAACTTCTATTTTTGTACAGCCTCGCAAGTTCTGTTTCTTTTTTTATAAGTTCCTTGAGTTTATCGATAATTCGAGGGAAAGTAATCTTCTACATCCCGGCCATGACTCATCCAAATTCCAATGTTTACAATACCGTCCAAAGTTCCCAACCTTTTCAAAACCTTCAATCTTTAATCCCCGTTTTCCCTGAGGCCACGCCAAGTTTCGGTCACTTTGAACACCTCAGGAATTTGAATAATTTGTAAAAACTTTTTTCTGATAAGATGGACGTCAACGAAACGGCCAATTTTCAAATTTTTGATGCCTAAGGGCCTGTTTATTCGAATAACCGGAAGTTTAAGTTGATAAAACGTGCGGTACGACCTATTGACGTCCATTAAAACACCGGAAAACATAAAAAAAAGTCGGAGAAAAGTGTGGCAGTGGAGAAAATTAGGGAATGGACATGTGACGGACGGTCGGAGTTAATCTCGTTACGTGGATACAATGTGTTAGTGATAAGGCGTATTTCCAGTAATCAGAGTATGAATTTTATGTTCAAATTCGGACATAAAAAATTTATTTTTTAATAAAGATTGCAACAAAAAAATTACAGTAATCCGTTTACAACTAGCCTAAAAAATGCCAAAAATATTTCAAGATTTTTTTGACCGAAATTTTAAAAAAGAATAAATATTTTTTATTTTATGGGTGCTACATAAAACAATTTTAATTTTTTTAGTAATTCAACGGAAAATCCGGAGCCTTCAAAGAAAAATTTCGCCAAAAATTGAATATTGTCCATTTTTCGCCCTAAAAACATCGGTTTTTTCTGCAAAACGCGAGCTTACGATTGCAAAAATGTCTTAAAAAATTCGTTAGCACATACCACAGTTTACCAATATCTATTTACTCAATTGTAATGTCGCTGCCATAGATAATACAAAAAAAATTCAAAGCTACCGTAATCCCCAATTTTTCAAATTTGAAAAAAAATTACCGCCCACGCCCACAACAATACTCTGTAAAAAACCAGAAACCTCGGCACGATCTTCTAATTAAATATTCGGACGGCACTTCTTCATCTTCTAATTTGAATACCGGAACCGATTGATGGGCTGTGAATTGGGTGCGAAGAAAAAAGAGGAAAAAGCCCACACAAAAAATTTGAATGGAACGATCCCGGGAACAATGGGACGGTCAAACAAAGTAATTATTCCGGCTCAAGGATAAGGCAGGTACGGTAATGGAGAAAGGGAAATGTGGATAGGGTAAAATACGGTATTCCAAAGTTTTTTTTTCTTTTCAAGCCTCAACTGCCTATGCAAAATATGAGCTAAAATTTTCAGGGATAGAAATTAGAATTTTATAAAAAATTGCGAAAAAATGAAAGAAATCTGACAAAAGAACTTGGAGGAATTTTATTGTGAATTTTGGACACTTTTCTTTACAATTATGGCAAAAATACTCTTAGAAATTTTTAAGATTATTATTATTTGCTATGAAAGAGTAAATCAAAGTCTTACAGTTGTTTTGGAACAATAAAAATAAATACTTTTCTACAGTAACCCCCCAGAAAACTCTTCGAAAGCCAAAAGAAAACAGTTATTCAGCCCCCACGAAGAGAGTTGGTCCTCATTCGGCCATTGTTTTACTTGGCCCGACATTTGAGTTGAGATTATAATGAGGAGAGTGCGGAGAAATGAGTCGATCAATGAGTAAGGGATTCAAAATCAGACGGTTCTGATATTTTATGTTATACTTGGCTTCTACAATATTTTTTTAGATTTTTAGGAATACTAGGAATACATACGTTGACAGAGAAAATATAAAGCGAAGGCCATTTCGTCGTATTTTAAAAATATAATTAATTTTTACATTCCTCTAAAGAAAATTAAGGGCTCCAATCCATTTCACGTATTTTACCAACAGTCTACAGTATCCCAAAGTTTTGTAATCGAGAAAAACCAAGGCCAAAAACTTAGAATGGCTGTTTTGAAGGGAATCATCGCTCTGTCGGCTTCGAAAATTGAGTCAGAGCCATTCGGCGTCGGAGAAAAAAATTGATTCTCTTTTTGTAAACGGCCACGAATTGACAAGTTTTCAATAAAAAGTTGATTTTTAATAAGAAAAACGGCACAAATCTAGGCTTAAAGTTATATCGAATATTGCAATTTTCGAAAATTTGAATATTCAAAAATTTCTTTTTCATAAAATGCAAATTTCATGACATTAAAGTGCAGAATCAAAGTTTGCTCAATTTTGTTTTATCCAATCCCCCGACAACGGTCGGTTTTCCATTTTCTGATGGTTGAAAGTAACGATTCTGACGAGGGACCAGTCGACTTGGCCGTGGGGAAAGTGGTGGCCAAACGGTTTCTGATTCATTATAAGTGTGGAGAAGGAGGCTGTGGCACTGTTTATAAGGTTTTTTTTTATTTTGTAATTTTAAAAATGCAGAAAAAAGTGCTTTTTAAAAGTTTTTTTGATTTCCAAGGTTTATAAAACATGTATAAGTTCAGAGCATTCTAGAATCCGTATTTTACCCTCTACTTTAGGTGGAAGACTTGGAGAAAAAGAAACATTTCTACGCCCTGAAGGCTGAGTCTAACAGCGCCAGTGGCGGAGCTGTCCTCAAGTTAGAAGTGGCCATTCTTCGTCGTCTTCAAGGCAGAAAACATTTCGCGGAATTGATCCAAAGTGGGAAAAGAGAGAGATACAGCTACATGGTGATGACTCTGTTCGGTCCCTCCTTGTCGTATGTGTTGAAAAAGAAAGTCAAGGGAGATCTGAGTATATCCAGCACAGTCAGGATCGGAATTCAACTTCTTTACTGTATCAAAACTCTTCATGATGTAAGTTTATTAGGGTAATAAAAAATTGTTATAAAAATTTTGTTGTCAGTGATATCCTAAAAAAACTTGGGTGGTTTGAGGTAAAATACGCTGGTTCTTGTCATTATGATTTTTACTTTCAGGCCGGCTACATTCATCGTGATATAAAGCCCGGAAACCTGGCCCTCGGCCGTCACTTCCCCCAATCCAGATTCCTCTATATGCTCGACTTTGGACTGTCCAGAGAGCATATCACCCGTGATGGAGACAAAGTGTTGATGAGAAGGCCCAGAACTGACACTCTGTTCCGAGGTACCCCCAAATATTGCTCCATCAGCACCCATGAAAGGAATGAACAGGGAAGGCCTGATGATCTCTGGTCCCTGGTCTATTTGATAGCCGAATTGAGGGGACCATTGCCTTGGGAAGACCTCTCGTAAGGATTTTGACATTAGTTTTCGCAAAGGTTTATATAATATTATTGTGTTCAGAAGCAAGCATGACATCAAAGAGCTCAAGAAGAGAACCCCCGACACAAAGTTATTGGCCAACTGTCCCATTCAAATGCTCGAAATCACTGCTCATCTACGGTAATCAACTTATAATATTTTTTATAAAGTTGAAACGTACGTTGATGTTTTTCTTTCAGGTCCCTCACATACTACACAAGGCCAAATTATTTCTTCATCTACAAAAAATTCATGGAGGTTATGAAGGAAGGCGGCTTCAAGTTCACAGATCCTTATGACTGGGAGAAGACGGTGATGGCGAAGAAAAAAAGAATCAGACATGATGGAGAATCGACCTCTCTTCATTATATTAAACATAGCGCTGACAGCGGGAACTCGCCGAGCTTTTGCGATGAAGATTTTACATCAAATCCTTTAGGATTTTGAATAAATTGATGGACAGTAACCCGGGCTTCTCGGGCATTTTAATTTTTGAAATTCGGACTGGTTTAGGACTGAGAGAGGAACAGTTGACTCGAAAAGTCAAGTGTTTCCTTTTAGAAGTTTTCGCACCGGAAAAAAATATCCTATTTCTCTCGTAAAAACCCCAGTTCAGAAACCGCAACAGAACATTCTAGATCACCCATGCAGTGCAATAAACAAACTTATGATTTTTTAAAGCCTCATCATCAACTTTTTGCCTGTTCCCAAACCTGTTTATTTTTAATGACCACGTTGATTTCTTTGCCTGTAAACCTTTACCTTCTAGAATAGTAACAAACAATTTTGTTTTTATTAAAGTTGTAATGTTTAGAAGCGATCGGATGATTTCATAACTCAAGGTCGGCCTTCGTTTGATTTCAATGGCGGAAAATATTTAATGAAGGGGAAAACAACTATTGCTTGTCAAATTTTAGATTGTATATAGAGAAAAAAGTTAAAAAGTAACGTAAATCTGGGAATCACAGGGAAATTCAGAACTTACTAATGCCATTTCAAGAGGTTAGGCGTCGATATTAATAAACTTTTTACCCATTTAGGCAAAAGATCGTCAAAAGTCATCAAAACTCTTGAAATGCATGTTGATATTAGTGTTTATTGCGGTTGCAAACCCTCGATATTGATATTATTACAATCTAAACATCTGAGCACTCCCTAAGAGATCACAAGCTTGTCACACAATCCATTCAGCTGACGGATTCCGGCGTTCTGCGCACAATGGCATAGACTTTGGACTCCTTGTGTGTTAAATCCGGCTTGGATTGCGCACTGCTTGCCCTCCTGGACGAGCTGAGAGTCCGAGGGCAACTTGAGGCCACAACCCATCTTCTTGGCGCATTGGCCGCTCTTCTTGTCCATGCAACTCTTCATGCAGCCGTAGAACTTCTTTCCCGAGGCCAAAAGTCCCTTGGCTTGAGAGGCTATGCCGGCACGGGACAACATGCGGTTGATCTCACTCATGGCCGCGATTTTCAAGGTCTCAGGGTAGCGTTTGGGGACGGTCTGGCCTGGGGCATTGGCACAGGAATCGCGGAGATTTCCTTCGGCACAAGACATGGCGGCACGAAGTTGGGGTTCTTTTTGGAGAAGGCAGGAACGGAGTTGCTGGTAGTTGGCTCCCAAAGCTGCGGCGTGCTCCTGAAAAAGTTGTGGGCTCACTTTGAGATTTTAGATACATTGGCAGCAATTTTAAAAAAGTTATTTTTTCAGGGTTCTGACTGATGACTAAAATAAGGTCCAAAAATTTTTGGTTTTTTTAGGTCAATACTGTCAAAAATTACATAAAACTATATATCTATCTTAAGATACTCGTAGTCACTTTTCTAACTTTCAATTTATCAATCCGCTGCATGTGAATGCCCAATTTACCCCACAAATCTACTAAAACTTACTTGACAAGAATCAGCGCAAGGAATGACAGAGTCGACGTAGTTCTTTTTACACGGCTCTACATCCGAACACAGGCATTGAGGGACCATTTGGGCCTGGGAAACACCCAAAACAACGGCCAGAACAATCAACGATTTTGTCAGCATTTCTCTGAAAATCAGGCAAAATTAAAATTAAAATTCGGTTGAAGATACACGGACTTTAGATATAACTTTTTATTGGATTTTGAGCAGGGTAAATTTGAATCTTTTGGGAATTAAAAATTGAGAAAAAGAGGTACTACGAACGAACGAGGATTGAGATTTTTGACGAGAAACGTTCACCTTGAGGCGCCTTTTAAATCGGTAGTCAACTAGTCAACCCCTCCCCAAATACTTTACAAAATAATGGGCGGAACGGGGGCGAGAAAAGAAAAAGTTTTATGGTCAGCAATTTAGGTGAGAGAGAAAACAAAAATGTCAAAAGACCTGTTCGAAAAGCGAATGTGTCCCAAACAATGGGACATAAAAGTAATTGAGAGTACTGTTAAGCCGGTTTTCGGTTACTGTTTAGCTTTTTGACAATATGTTTGAGTCACTTATTCGATTACACTTCCGTTTTTGAAGAGTTTGGCGATCTTTTTTTTATGATTTTTAGGTGAAAGGTCAAGTTTAGATAAGACCTGACACTTCAAGGTAAGTTTTTATTTAGTTATGACGTCATCGGAGGGAAAATATTTTTAACATTTGAAAGTAAATTTTATTTTTGACTTTAAATGGAAAATGTAATTTTAAGGCCGATGAGTTTTGATGACTTGTAAAATACGAATAATAATACATAATACTACAAAATGATTTGGTTAGAAAAAGGTATATTCTTACTCTCTTCTTTGCAGGAGGAATTTAAATGGTAAGGTTATATATATGAGTTTTTCCAATTATTCAGTGATTTCTGACAACCTTATTGTTAGCTTTTGATTTATAAGCATATTCGAGTGTCCTGGCTCCTTTTTCCAAACGAGAGATTAGGGAAAATGATGAGAGATGGTCAGGAAAATAATATTCTTTGATCTTTTTGAAATTAGAGAAGTAAAACTAAGCTTTTTTTGTTAAAACTTTGAACTTTTCGTTTAGGAAAGTTTGAGATAATTATTGAACACCTCAAAATAATATTTTCCATTTCGTGTGAATCTTTAAACTTCTTTGAATCGAAAAATTCCGATCCAAATTTCTCAATTCTACTTTCCAAACATCACCATTTGTAAACAACGGCGTTTTCCATATGTCATAGCCGATCAAATTGGCTGATGATCGATAAAAAAAAAGTTAAATTTAGTTTTCGAAATAAAACTTGTACTTTAAACAGGCCAAAAAAAGTGAACCAGAATTTAACGAGTAAGTTTAAATTTTGATACGTCAGAAAAAGTAAGTTCATATTAATTTTAAAAAAAGTCGCGCGGAAAGGCGAAGAAATGTGTTTTGGTTTTGGTTTAGTGGGCCAATTTAGAGAGTAGGAATTATTTTTTCTTCAAATTCTAAGTGTTCTTGACTGAATTTGTGACCGAATGTTGTGACTGAAAACACATTGAAACTGCAGTAAAATTAAAGAGCGATGTTTGAGGTCGAAATGGAAGGAAGGTTAAAGGTCGAGGAAGAAAATGCATCTGGGGCAAAGAAATTGTAACTTTTCAGCCCCAAGCAATTGATAAGGTCGTTCAGAACACGTTGGAAAAATTTTACGTTGCCCTGAAAAGCAAAAAAAACTTTAATCCCAAAATCTTTCCATATCAAAATTACATATGTCATCCCGCGAATACATATTGCACCGACAATTTTACATACTATAATTTGGTCTTGCAACGTATTTTAAAAGAAGATCAGTGCGGGCGTATCCCGCACTGATGAAAGACATATTTTGCTTTGGCGTATTTTACAAAATCTTTCACCTACAAAAAATAAATTAACAATAAATTTTAGTCGATTAAATATTATTTCGCAGTGGGAAATAGAAAACACATAAACCCAAGGTCCCCCAAACAATTTGCGCTTACTTTGGTCATTTACTTCTGTACTTTACCCTTTCTTTTGTCAGTAATTCTATTTTCTTCACTTTTTACAATCATCCCATGTTCAAACCCTGAGGGTTTAATGATTCCGAAATCTATTACAGCCAAATTATTTGATCGCCATGTGGAGTTTATTAATTTTTTTATGTCAAGATGAAAATACATGAAGAATAAACTACAAAAACTGTCGCAAATTGCCCAACAAACACTTGAAAGTATCCTCTTTGACTGTAGTTTTTCTTTATATAAGATGTTTTTTTATAAAACGAAAAAAAATATTTAAAAATGCCCTTTGAACTTTGTAAGAGTCTTTAAAAGTAATAAAAAGAAGTAAAAAGTCTTTACAAATAAAGTAATTGTTATGTTACAGTAACCTTTTTTATAAAATTATTGTGTCTTTTTGAACTTTGGAGTAAGATGAAAAGTAGTGTTACATAATGACCTTGAACAACTCTTTTTTTTCACTCTTATTTGCTGAATTTCCAATAAATTTCGGTAAAAAGAGAACGAGTTGAAGGCGTTCAAGAAAGTTCGATTTATTATTTGCAAAAAAGTAATAAGTAAAAAGTAACGCTGGTCAACAATTGAGTCGTTGAAAAAGGTATTTAAAAATAAAGGAAGCTTGTGATTTCTGAGAAATGTATTTACAAGAAAAATGCCCGAGGTCAAATTGCTTAAATTTCGGACAGTTTTATTTACAAGAAAAGTTTCTGAGATGCAATACTTGGATTTTTCAAAAATCTTGTCTTTACGGCCTACTAGGATAATATTTCAATTTTAAAAAATTTTGATGTGACCGGGGTTGTTGAAAAATGGAAAGAAAATCCCAAGGAAAGTGTAAACCCAGATTTGCTTTACGTTTTGAGATTACACCTCGCCAATTTCGCATGGAATTTCTTGATTTTTTGAAAGAAATTTTCTCGTCTCCAGTAAAACAGTTGTTGTTCTTACGATATAAAAATCTCAATTCCCTGTTCAAGTTGGTAAATTTGGCTGTATTTGAAAGCATTTTATGGAGATTCCTTTCTTCTGTTATGGCAAAAAGTCTGTCTAAATACAAAGAAGAGAAAAGATTTGATATAATGAAGCCTTGAAAACTAAACAACAACATTACAAACTCCAGACAACGATACGAAGACACATAATGCTGTCGTATACAGTTCCGGTGGCAATGACATTCTTCCAGAACACTTTTACTAAAATTTCTTTTCAGTTCAGACCATAAATAACGATATCTTTAATGTAATCTTATTCAAATGCCAAATCTTTTATTCAGTCATGCACAATGCTCTCTCACTCAGATCCGAGTGTCCTTAATTGTGAAACTGACAAGATTAAATGAGAGAACATATTATAATTGGGGCCGGGAAATCCCATCCCAACGTTAATCCGACACCAAATCCAGAGTTATACATGTGGACGGGAGAGGAGCGAGATGGAAGTAAACGATTCTCAACTGCAGTTTTCTTGTCATACCATTTTTGGAAATGGCTTCAGGGTTGTTAACTTTGAGATTATTTATGTATTCAATAAACTTTTAAAATAATAAATGCTCAAGATACGATTGTCGGTCTTCCTATAATTTGAATCTGTGCTGTTTATGAGTGTATAAGAAGCGATCCAATGTAAGGTTTTTCTAAGCGTCCAGCAATCTGAGTAACGGCAAATTTTTTTTGTCATATCTTCTTGTTAGTGACCTTAGCTCGTTGAGAATTCATCTTTTGCTTACAATTAGGGATGTTCCATGCATCGAAGTTCAAAGCTATGTCCTAAATATCCAAAAAGCGTTGAATTTCTCGCCACATTCACCCTTTAAATGTCGCTGATATTTTTTAAATTCTGCCCTTAATTTGATCTAGCTGTTATCCGATTCTGAGCACCGAAGAAACGCACCCTGTAAACACAGCACCATCTCCATTCCGGGATCAATGAATCCATCTACCCTCTTACCCAATATCCTTCACTTTTTAATCCAATGTTTATCGCTTCATAATAGCAATTCAACATCATTTTTCAACTGGATTAGTAATTGTTGTCTTATTACAAATACGAGATGACTAGACATCTCCATTCATTGTCTTAAAAGTCTCATTGTACATACATATTTGGAAAACAGCTATTTTACAAGAAATATTACAAATGTTATGACAATTGTAGAGTAAATGTTATTTTTTCCCGTTATTCGAGACACTGCTATGCGCCATTTACAATTGTAATACGATTCCCATCTAAAGGGCACATTTTTACCAAAGTGCATAGCCGTATCTCCAATCTTCATGAATTACAATGTTTTGGAGCGGCAGACGTAATTACGCGGCTAAATGTCCGTGCCGTCTCCTATTTCGTACCCCAAATTTGGTGCGTAAATTTGAGTACAAATTGGAATAAAAATAGCCAGATCTTGTGTGAAATCCGAAACACGTGAAAGTGGGATATTGATGACGTAAAATACATTGCGTTTGGAGGAAATGAGAACGTCGGGAAAAGTGCAAAAGTTTAGCATCGGAAAGTGAGATTGTATCGTACAAATGGGGATTAGAATTTTCGAAAAATCCAAAATAAATTTTGCTCTGTCCTTGCAGAAACTACGGACATCTTAAGCTCGAAAATAGGCTGAAATCCGATGAGGTTTGCGAGGCTTTATTATCGTGGATTAACGCTGTGTATTAAATCCAAGATATGTACAGTGTTTTTGCGAAATTTTAAAACTGAAAAAATCCGCAAATTTTAGAAAATCAGAGTCATACTTTCGGCCAAAAAATCCGGGGTTTTTTTGAAAAATGCCGGGTAGAAATTTCTAAAAATAGCGTCATTTCCATTGTAAAGTGAGCACCTATTTTTAAAAATTTTTCACAAATAAATTTTTTGAGGTGTGCTAATAGTCGAGTAATCTTGTAAGAAATTTTTTTCCTCCCATTATCCTAACTGCGCAGTAAAGACTGCCCTAAAAAGTGTCGTCGTATGACTTCCATTTTCGATTTTATGATTTTTTGATAGCGCATCTTATCTCTCTTTAGCTCCCTCAAAACAAACGCTCAGTTGTATTGAAAGTAGACCATCTTTTTCACTTTTCATAATGTCCTTACTTCTCCAAATTTGTTG